AGGCGTGACCACACTAAGGAATTTTCGAGTGTGGTCATGCTTGCCGGCCAAAAAAGTGGAAGTTGTTGTTTAGCCAATTTTGTTACCCGGCCTAAGGGGTGATGTCCGTACAAGTTCTATGTGACAAAAAATGAGGTCAACAACGACACTGCGAGATTAAAAAAAAATGTAAACAAAAAGTTGACTCTATCTAGGACGAGCGACAACTCCAACAGGGGGGAAGGTGTCTGCCGTGGTGCGGGAAGGTGGCTTGCAAGAAAGGTAGCAGATAGGAAGCCTACTGGCTAGTAGCTGGAATCAGGATAACATGTAGGCAGCTGGTGTTCGACGACTGGAAGCAGCAGTACAACTGCTGGACAAGGCTGGAAGGCATAAGAGGCTATTGGGAAGGCAGTTGAAGATCTGGATGGCAACATGTCAGCTGTGGGAAGCGTTGAACAACAACAAGGAAGGTATCGGAGTGGCTGGCATCAGCAGGACAGCTGCTGGAGGTGTTGAACAACATTAAGGAAGGTGTCGGCATGGTTGACAACAACAGAACAACTGCAGGAAGCATAGAGCAACAGTAGGGAAGAAAGCAGATGGCAGCAAGGTCGAGTGGTTTGCAGTTACTGGAAGCGGGGCAAGAGGGGTTGTGGAAGGATAATTGTCTCGTCCGGGTCGAGCTATACCCAGAGCACCTCCTGGATTCTTGGAGACGGCCACCACCTCGGATGAGTTACAATCGGAACACCTTCTCACCGTCAGATACAGCCCCCAGAGGGGAAGAATGTCTTATAGGCAGCAACTCAGAAATCTACACTCATCAAAAACTCTCTTCCCTAATCCTAGGCAAGCAACATCTTTAAATAAGGGAGAAATATATAGACCAAACAAGTAATAGAATAGACAATAAATAAAGGCGGGGAGGGTATATGAAGGGATGGATTTAGGTAGTGAATCAAATAAAAAAAGGAAATTGAATATGAAAGGGACCCCGGTTATTGTAGCGGCTTCAAAAACACATCCGTGGTAATGTAGCTGTTACAGTACCGCGGTCGATATGCTCCCACATCATAGAAAGTTGTGGTGAGAATTATAAATAATTTTTTTTAAATGTCAAACAATTTTTCTTACAGCCACCAAACTCTAATAAATCTAGTTTTAAAAAGTAGCTTCCCACAAAAAAATTTCTAAAAAGCAACATAAAATGAGTTCTCCAAATGAAACCGTGGTGGTGGACCGGTGGTGTGTAACAAAACACAGATAGAAATCTTTCTCAAACGAACTGACACTGTCCTAGGGTTCCTAGAATGTGTATGTAATACAAAATTGCATTAAGGATTTTGTAGGATTGATACTGAGTGTGAAGATGGACGGCGGCTGATAATTGGCGCAAACAATGACGAGACAACGAATTTATAAAGTTACAGTAACCAGTAGTTGGGAGCACATTTGATTGCTGTCCGGCGGAAAACAACGAGCAAATGGCGAATCGGCGTGGTAAGGATGTTTAGAGGGATCCACCATCTATTCCCGGGCAAGCTATATACACATTACTTGCGAAGGAAAGATGCTACAACACTTCGGAGAGCAAGAAAACTAGAGAATAACTTTCAAAATACCTAAAAACCAAGCTGCAATTCCGAACAGCCTACCATATATATAAGTGTCATTGTAGGAAATAACCTATTTAGAGAATAGAAATATAAGAAATAACCGGAAAGGAAGGAAGCCAAGTGGGAATAAACGAAATAAAAATAAAAACAGAAGAAAACAGAGGCATAGGATACTAGCCTTATATCTTTACTTATAATGGTGAATTGAATTCTTCTTTCTTTTGCGACACACTTATTTGCTCTATGAACATTTCTATCTGTACATTTCTGTTCATCATGAACTTATACAGCTTCACAAATACTCTTGAGACCTGCTTCTGCATTTGTAAAATTTTGTCTTCAAAGGTCTTCTTACTCTTATTTAAGTAGTTCATTCAAATAATTGTTTGTTTTTGTACATTAAAAATCGATTGTTAAAATATTTTTCCAGGTTAATTGTCATCTGAGGATTTAACTTGTTGATAGACAGTTTCATCTCTGACTCTATATGCATTTTCAAAGAAGTTAACTTGAGGTTGCTGGGTTCAACCTGCTAAGGCAGTAGTTTGCATGTGCTTTGATTATTTCTTACAATTGTCCCTCTAATACATCCATAATTTTTTCATTTTATAGTTTTTTTTTAATTATTTTTTTTTGTTTCTCTCACTCCATGGATTATTTCTTACAATTGTCCCTTTAAGCAATTGTGACTGTCATTTATTGTAGAATGAGCATTGTGTTTTGCATTTGCTCTGTTTAATAAATTTGTTAAAACCTTTCAGTGAACGGGTACAATTGGCTGCTTGGAAGTTTGCGTACAACATGAAATTGGCTAATTTGGTTGTAAGCTTTTGACTTCACGGGGGAATTGCATTTGATGTATTGTTTATAGGGGTTCAATCTTATTATTCTAAACCTTTATTCTCTGTTCTATTTGAATCTTGCATACTTATTGTGCCCGTCCAATTGTAAGGACTTGTAAAATCATTGCTTAGAATTATTGCGCTTATTATTGGGCAGTTTAGGAAAGCACATGAACCTGCACATGTTGAATGTCTTTTTAATATTGATCGTATTTTTCAGTTCTGGCTCGTGGAAAATTTCTACTTTCTAGTGGTATGCAGAAAGTTTTTTTAAGTTGGTTTTCATTTTTGTTGCAAAACTTTTGGTGATTTTGATAGTTTTTGGGATTGTTTAAGATCATTGTTAACTTTTATTTTCTTCTGCGGTTTGGAATGGGTGTAGCTCCACTATCTTAGGCGCTTGTGGATGAAATGGTGATCTCATCAACTTTGATGCGTGGTAGGGCGGCGGTAGTTTGCTTGTGCTATATGCATTTTCAAAGAAGTTAGCTTGAGGTTGCTGGGTTCAACCTGTTAAGGCAGTAGTTTGCATGTGCTTTGATTATTTCTTACAATTGTCCCTCTAATACATCCATAATTTTTTCATTTTATAGTTTTTTTTTAATTATTTTTTTTTGTTTCTCTCACTCCATGAATTATTTCTTACAATTGTCCCTTTAAGCAATTGTGACTGTCATTTATTGTAGAATGAGCATAATACTTGTGTTTTGCATTTGCTCTTTTTAATAAATTTGTTAAAACCTTTCAGTAAACGGGTACAATTGGCTGCTTGGAAGTTTGCGTACAACATGAAATTGGCTAATTTGGTTGTAAGCTTTTGACTTCACGGGGGAATTGCATTTGATGTATTGTTTATAGGGGTTCAATCTTATTATTCTAAACCTTTATTCTCTGTTCTATTTGAATCTTGCATACTTATTGTGCCCGTCCAATTGTAAGGACTTGTAAAATCATTGCTTAGAATTATTGCGTTTATTTTTGGGCAGTTTGGGAAAGCACATGAACCTGCGCATGTTGAATGCCTTTTTGATATTGATCGTATTTTTCAGTTCTGACTCGTAGAAAATTTCTACTTTCTAGTGGTATGCAGAAAGTTTTTTTAAGTTGGTTTTCATTTTTGTTGCAAAACTTTTGGTGATTTTGATAGTTTTTGGGATTGTTTAAGATCATTGTTAACTTTTATTTTCTTCTGCGGTTTGGAATGGGTGTAGCTCCACTATCTTAGGCGCTTGTTGATGAAATGGTGATCTCATCAACTTCGATGTGTGGTAGGGCGGCGGCGGTAAGTGCAAGGTTGGTGGTTGGCTGGTGGTGGGTGCGGCGTTGGCCGGTATTGTGCACGAGATTGGGTGTATGGCAGTATTGATGAAAAGGATTCTAAATTTTTTTGGGTATTTATGAAAACAATGGATTTGTTAAAGCAAAAGGTTACGAAATACTAATCAAACATATCATGTCCTACTTAAAAATAGAAACAGAAAATGATGTCAAATCAATCTTTAGTGACCCGTTTCAGTGATTTCTATTTAGGAAAGCAAAAAAGTTATCCAGGAAAATATTTTGAGAAAAATTAAAATTCAAAGCAATTCTTAATATATAACTTAATTTTAATTGATTATAACATGCTGATATTGTGTCTTAAAAATCCAAAATGCTTCCTACTGTAACCAAAGTGCTCATAACTCCCGGACATTGGTAATTATCATTTCTTTCCATTTCTGATTGTATTTTGAAATATACTTATTAGTAATTTATTTCTAATTCTTATTGTATTATTTGTTTAGAAATTTCCACACTTCAGTTTCAAGTTCATGGTTCTATGTTTTGTATTTGAATGATGAAAATGACATTTATACAACGTAGTTGATGTTTTGGATTATAAGCATGAAACGTGTTTTTACAATCAACAAAATTTTTGTAGTAAATACATAACTATTTAATTTACTCTTTAATTTTTTTAATATTTTTTAATGTGATGAATTAATTTGTATAAATTAATCATATACTTATCGATCTAAAATGGTTTAGATAGCAATTTTATTCATTATATTTCTAGTTTTGAAGATTTGTTCTTTTCAAAGGCTGCTTAAAATGCTAACCTTGATAATGTAAATTAGCTTCCTTGCACACTGTTATGCAGGGTTATAGTATGAGCATGCTATAAAAATTGTTCTATTTAAAGCAGGAGTCACGAGTCTGAAACCTATTAAAATGTGGTTTTTCATTTGGCAGGTTTTTGAAATGGATCGTTTTAGCTGGTTTTTAGAATCATTGTATATAGTTGCATAGAAAAATCTCAGCATGTTATTGTTTCTGGTTTCTTTCTTTAGTTCTTCAGACCTAAATGATTTTTTTTTGTATAGTGAATTTGGATTTTGAACTTTGTTGGTTTTGTTGACAAGCTGTTGTTATGTTTCGTTGTTTGTTTCTTCATAAAAATGTACTGAAATTTTCTCTTCATCCGTATGGCAAGTTAAATAAATCTGAAATAGCTCTGCAGTGTTTTCTTCGTTTTCATGATTTGTATGTTAAATGACTCCTGTTTCATGGCTGTTTTCAGCTCAATTTGGGGAGAAGCTGTCAGAATGCGAATATATGAAGACTCAAATGCTTTTATTCGTAATGCCAAAAGTAATCTTAGGCACGTTGTCAATGATGCTTCTAAACCATTGGAAACTTCAATATCTAATGAAGCTTCAGGAGACCACCCTGACCCTAAGGCTTATCTTAGAACCATGGAGTCAGAATATGAAAGAAATGAAGGCGGTGCGACCTCTATGGTCTGCATCACTCAGGATTCAAATGTTTCAAAGGATCCTGAAGTACCTCATATAGAAAATATTCATTTGGATGCTGATGCAACACAGATACAGTTGACTTCAAAAGCTGTGAATATTGCTAGGTCCAAGTACACTGTTCCTCGACCCTTTAATCTTGCAGCCGGCAAGTGTGCTTCAGGTGCCTGCAAATTTACTGCTGCCACTATATCTAATAATGAAAAAAAACATACAATTATGAACAGCATTGGGTTGCCAAACCTGGTAAAGAAGAATCAGGTTTGTATATTTGTGATTTCAAATGAGTTTTTATTTTTTATTTTCCTTTTTTTAACTTCATTTTTTTTTTCTGTATTATGAACTTTGGTCGACTTTAGGGTAGGACTGTAATGGAAGTTTTCTCCCAATAATAATTTGTGCTATTTAATATTTTTGTATTGTGAAATCGGGACATTTTTAAATATGAATCCCTTTTCCTTGTTTGTGCCAAATTTCTAACCATTTGGATCTGTGTTTGAAAGTCACAAGAAGGACACATGATGAGAAAAGTATTAAAATGGTCTCATGACTCTTTGTGGGTGGTCATGTCAGTCGAAGGGTCTATAAAAGTGTCATCCTAGCTCCCATATTCTTTTAATTGGGCTAAAATAATTTGACATTGGGACTATTTCAGTCTATATTAAAAGATTATAGAGACTAAATTAACATTTTTATAGATATTAGGACTAAAATGACCTCATGTAAAATTGTAAATAGGCAAAGAACTATTTTGACACTTTACTGGATACGTAATGAAACAGGTCAGAGAAAAAACGACTGTTATGAAGCTGGTTAGAGAAAAAGTAACAAATAGTCCTCTGATTATTTGTATGTGATCACTTTGGTCTTACAGTATCACTTTTCTCAAATTTAGTTCATTTACTATATAGAATCGGTCTCCAATGGTCTTTTTGTTAAAATTATAATTAGAATTTGACAGAAAGTGATTGGTAAATTGTTTTACAAGGTGTGGGTGAAGGATTTTTTAGGAAAAATATAATTTATAATTATTCTTTTCTAATTATCATTTACAAGAGAAGTTATTTAACATTTTACGAAAACCGAGCATACCATGGAATATAGCAGTCAAAGCAGCAAGCATAGTGGAAGAAAATTGAAATCAGGGGAGTGGCTTAGAGGAATAGGAAGAAAAAATGCACAAATACTCTTGAATTACTAAAAAATACTCAAATTTAACATTAGACATCACTTTTTCTTACACTTTTTGTTAATTTGCCAGGGATTATTTTGAATCAATTTTGCTGATTTGAGGGACTTAAGTTTAGATATGTGATATTGTAAGACTATATTGATCACATATGTATAGTCGGATGTTGCAGGCGCTAAGGCAGTGCCCGATTGTGGGCACTTCGAACCCGTGGGGCAGAAGGATCACAAACTCATGCGATCCAGGGGGGACTTTCGCATCGGTTATTTCTGGGAAGATTTTTCTGGATTTCTAGGTTTTTCCACCCCTTTCCTTTGTGTAGAAGCTTCCTCCGTCCTGGTGGAGCCTATAAATTGTCGTTACATGTGTGTGGAGAGTCAGTTCTATTGGAGTTGTCTTCTGATCTCCTGTGTTGAGTCTCTTGCCCTTTTGTGGGTTGTATTTGAGGAGGTGGTGGTGCTCCGACTGTATCCTTTCCGAGGTGGTAATTGTATTTTCCCTTTTTACCTTCCCCAAACTCTCTCCTCTCCACTCCCTAGCCGCCGAACTCTTCTGTCGTCACCCCGTCACCCTGTCACCCAACCATTCCCCCTTCCTGCAGATTATTATTGTTGTCCCGTCTATCTAACTCCTTTCAAGCTTCTCCCAATTACCCCATTATCGTTGTCGACCACCTACAACCCTTTCATACTTGCTGTCCCTTGCATCTTTTCGCTACCACCCGCCTTTTGTGACTGTCGTCATCCCTTCCATCTCGATCTCTCTAGTCGACCTCCACCACCTATTGGGATACATTAGCAGTGTTTGTCGGTGTCGTTTTATGTTTTGTGTCATTATTTCCATTCGAGTCATGTTGTAACCCTACTTTAATATTAATGAATGTTTGTATTTGTGTTTTCCACTATTTTTCCTACTAGTTCTGATATCATTTGGTATCAGAGTCAGGTTTCGATTCTGGGACTTATGGGTTATGGGCCCACCACGCTTCCCGACGCTAATGCGGGCCCTTTGAGCCCACGAGATAGAAACCCCGCAAAGCTTCGTGGGTCGCGACAATGGGAGATCCTGTGCGAGAGCAAGTTAGAAGGATCAGGAACTCACACGATACAGAGGGGATAGTTTCACGCCGGCTCTTTTTGTGAAGAGTTTTCTGGATTCCTCTTGTCTTTTCTTCCCCTTTCCTTTGTGTAGAAGCTTCCTCCATTGTGGCCTAGCCTACAAATTGTCGTCCCATTTGTGCGGAGAGTCAGTTCTACTGTAGTTGCTTTTGATCTTCTGTGTGGAGTTTTTTTCCCCTTTGTGGGCTGTATCTGACTATATCCTCTCTGAGGTGGTGATTGTATCCTCCCTTTCCACCTTCCCCAAACCCTCTCATCTCCACTCCTCAGCCGCCAAACTCTCTCTCTGTCATCCCAACTCCCAGTCATTCCCCCTTCCTACATATTATTACTTTTGTCTCGTTTATCTAACTCCTTTCAAGCTCCTTCCAACTACCCCAATACCACTGGCGAACACCTACAATCCTTTCCTACTTGCTGTCTCTACAGTTTTGTACCTTCCCTCCGCTACCACCTGCCTTCCATGACTACCATCATCACTCCCAATCATCTCAATCCTTTTAGCCGACCTCTACCACCCATTGGGATACATTAGGAGTGTTTGCTGATGTTTTTTTATGTTTTGTGTTGTTATTTCCGTTTGAGTCATGTTGTAGCCCTACTTTAATATTAATGAAAGTTTGTGTTTTCCGTTGTTTTTCCTATAAGTTCCAATATCATTTGATATCAGAGCTAGTTCAACTTTAGTCCTATCCTAAGGTTTTCTAGCATTCGCCCCATCCAAACCACCTTCACCGAAATTTCCCTTCCGATTTCCAACACTAGCCATGCCTCCACGAAGAGGTACACCAGATTTGACCCGGGAAGAGATTCAATTGGAAATCCGTCGTCTACAACGGAGACTAATAGAGTTGGATGACAAAAACCAAGAATAGATTGCCTTCGTTTGGATCGAGAGAGTCAAAGAGAAAATAAGGACGATGGGATGAATCTGTTCTATAGGGAAGATCATAGTGACGAGGAATATCGACCGCGTCATTCTGGTATCTAATATCAAAAGAGACTGAGGGAAGAAGCTCCTTTTGAAGATCTGCTGGACTTTGGCATCAAGATGGACCTCCCAAAATTGAAGGAGGTATGGATCCCGATGAATTTACCGACTGGCTACAATCAGTTGAACAAATTTTCCAATATAAAGATGTACCAAAAGACAAACGGGTCAAACTAGCTGTTATTAAACAAAAAAAAAAGCACTTTTCTTTGGTGGGAAAAGGTGTAGATGTAGAGGAAGATGGACGATACTGAAAAGATCATTAGGTGGGAGAAGATGAAGAAGATAATGCAGAAACAATGCCTCCAACCCCACTATCGCCAGGATATGTTTCTGAAACTCCACAACTTGCTACAGAGGGATCTTTCAGTTGAGTTCACAACCCAATTCAATCACTTGCAGATGAAATGCGAGCTGACGGAGCCAAAGGAACATACGATAGTCAGATATCTTGGGGGTCTAAAACCCGCCATCAACAATATGATACAATTGGAGCCATACTAAATCCTAGGGAATATCCAAATATTAGTCTTGAAGGTAGAAAGACAACACAAACAGAGTTGACAACAGTCATTTTTCAAGCTGCAACCTTGAGGCAGGCTGTCACCTACAATCACCACGACCGACAGGGATATCCCGGAAGACACATGCAAGCACGAACAAAAGAATGATAGTACAGACCAAAGCAGGAAGAAACAGGAGAAGCGTAGCTCCTCCAACATGGTACCGGCCAGAAAGTGTTACCGATGTCACGGCTATGGCCACATAGCCCTAGTTGTCCCATGAGCAGGATAGTCACACTCACAGATCAAGACGTCGTGGAATGAATAACGAGAAGAAAGCTGAAGAAAAGGTGAGGTGTATCAACTCCCATTAGTCAAGGAAAAGCGCTCGTGATTTGACAAATCCTGCAAACCGAGAACACGAGGGGTTCGCAGTGGTTTCGCCACAACATATTCTATACCCATTGCACAATGAACGAAAAGATAAGCAGTCTTATCATCGACAGCGGAAGCGACAAGAATATGGTTTCAACACAGATGGTAGAGAAGTGAGGACTCGCAACTCAGAGATATTCTCAACTATATTCATTGACGTGGTTGAAGAAGGAGAATCGGGTCAGCATAGTCCGAAGATGCTTGGTAGAATTTTCAATCGGAGGTCAGCAGTAAGACCAGGTGTGGTGTAACGTGGTCCCTATGGATGTCTGTCACCTTTTGTTGGGACGATCGTGACAGTTTGACCGAAGGATTCAACACGACAGACTTAGAAACACGTATTTTTTCACCAAGGATGGGAAGCGCATCACTCTCCTTCCTTTGACGGAGCCCGTGGTCACAGTATTCCTTATCAGCAGAATGACCTGTTTTAGTGATCACACCAGACGAGAAGACTGAGACACTTGCCCCCATACATGACAAATATGATCGAGGTTACGTCAGGTTGAAGCTGAACCAATAGCACCACCGCTGTACGGGAAGGGAGGATCGTTGTCATTACATGCTCGATCAAATCGATCATAGGTTACTTTGAGAAGATTCACCAATATAGGTGTAGTGCACAACCTCACAAGGACAGATCTATGTGGACTTTTACTCGCAAGTTAGGGAAGACCCTCAGATACATCGGGAAATAGTGCAGTTGTCAGTGGGATCCAGGGGTGGGTGATAACAAAAAGGAAGCTTCGACCAATGAATTCAAAGCTCCCCTCAAACCGAGGAGACTGATGCAGGCGCTAGGGCAGCACCCGATTGTGGGCACTTCAAACCCGCAGGACAGAAGCCCTGTGAAGCTTTGTGGGAGCTGGAATCGCGAAAGACGAAGAACCCGCGTGAGAGCTGTGGAGAAGAATCGTGAACTCACGCGATCTAGAGGGGGCTGTTTCACACTGGTTATTTCTAGGAAGAGTTTTCTCGATTTCTCTTGTTTTTCCACCTCTTTCCTTTGCGTAGAAGCTTCCTCCATCCTGGGGGGGCCTATAAATTACCATCCCATTTGTGTGGAGAGTAAGTTATAGTGAAGTTGCCCTCTTATCTCCTGTGTGGAGTATCTTTCCTCTTTGTGGGCTGTTTCTGAGGAGGTGGGGGTGCTCCGGCTGTATCCTCTCTGAGGTGGTGATTGTATTTTCCCTTTCTACCTTCCCCAAACCTCTCATCTCCACTTCTTGGCTGCCGAACTCTCCCTCTGTCACCCCGACACCCAGTCATTCCCCCTTCCTGCAGATTATTACTGCTATCCCATCTATCTAACTCCTTTCAAGCTTCCTCCCAACTACCCCACTACCTCTGCCGATCACCTACAATCCTTTCCTGCTTTCTGTCCCTATAGTTCCGCACCTTTCCTTCGCTACCACCCGCCTTCTGTGACTACCATCAGCCCTCCCAATCATCTCGTTCTCTCTAGCCGACTTCCACCACCCATTAGATACATTAGGAGTGTTTGCTGGTGTCGTTTTGTGTTTTGTGTTGTTATTTCCGTGCGAGTCATGTTGTAAGCCTGTTTTAATATTAATGAAAGTTTGTGTTTGTGCTTTCCTCTATTTTTCTCACTAGTTTTGGTATAATGGGAGGACAATTTTGGGCTTTTTCTCCAATCGAAATATGGCGCTTCTACGGTTCTACCCCACTGAGTTTTAATGTTGTATGCAAAAGAACTGCATTTTCTATTGGATTTATTTTATTATTTTCTTATATAATGCCGCTTTAATGAAAATACGCTACTGGTTCATATTTGTTACTTCATTGCTCCAATGTAGGCTAGCTTACATCTTGAATCAAGGAAACCTCTTCAACCTCAGAATAGAAAACGCATTGTTGAAGAGGATGTCTGCTCTGTCATTTCTTTGTATCCTTTGTTTAGAACTGCTATAACAGTTTTATTCTTTTGTTGTTTCTAATTTATTGTCAAATAATGCCATTATTGTGTCCTGAACAATAGCATAGAAGTGCAGCTTCTGTGAAGACTTTTAGAAGTAGGAGCACTGTTGCATGCTCTCCCACTTTCAGAGTCAGTGAGCGTGCTGAGAAATGGAAAGAGGTAGCTTCTTGTTTATTGTTTTGTGTATATGATTTTTTACAGTCTCTAAGAAATACTGAACTCGTTTCTTCTTTTTATTATTTTAGTTTTATTCCAAGTTAGAAAAGAAACAACAAGCTGCTGAAGCTGAGAGGATTCAGTATGAAGCCAGAAAAAAGGTTTATTGTTTCTTTACCGATAGATCGATTGAACAGTGCAATTTGCAATAATCTATGTTATGGTTTTATCTGTTTCAGTTTTTGTAAGTTGCTAACCATATTTTCATGCTTAATATTTTTTTTTTACATCCTGGTAGTTTCAGAGGAACCTCAAACTTACCATCTGGAATGGTAAAACTAAAATTTTCTATCACAACTGTGATGCTTTTTATTATTTTTGAAGTGAGAAATGCTATATTTAGATCCTTACCGGATGTGGATCATATCCTAAGAGTATTTAATATTTCTTGTTGCACGTCCATTGCTAGACTTCGCTTGTTCATGCTTTGCGCTTTTATATTATTATTTTTGTTGTTGTTTGTTTGTATGCTAGTTCTTTCTTTTTTCGTTGAATTTTGCCATTACATTCAGGTGGTAATCATTCGGGTTTTTTTTTAGACTTAAACTAATCTCTCAAACTAAAACAAACTTGATTGTAGTAACCACTTTAAATGTATTGCCTCATCTATCTTAAAGCAAACTAATCATTCTAACTTAAGCAATCTTGATTGTAGTCACCATTTTAAATCTCCTGCATCATCCATCTGAAAGCATTCTTTGCTCTTCATGCATTTTTCGTGTTCAGTTATCATTTACTGTTCAGTATTTAGTTGACCTGAAAGGGAATATTTACTATTTACAAGATTATCAGGAGTATTTTTGATTCCGGAGATAATAGAAAAACCAAATGTTATTACGGAAATCAAATAGGGAATTACAACCAACATACAGAAATCTGAAATTGCAACAACTGACAAAACATACTCAAGCTAGGGGGTAGATCCAGGGGTGGTGGTGGTGGTTGGCGAGGGTTTGGAAGGTGGTGCGGAGGTGGAAGACAAGAAAAAAAACAGTAATGCAACTGTTTCCCCAGTGCCAGTCAGTAAGCAAATAGCAGGGGCGATATGGGAGGGCAGTTCGGGGTTATGGCAGAAAGGATGGAGGGATTAAATGGTGGCGGCAGCAAATTGGAAGGGCTGGATAGCAGCGGAGGCGAAGGTGGAGGGTTGGAACAACAATGACAGCGAGGAGGAAGGGCTGGACAAAGGAAATCAGCAGGA